TGTTCTTAGGTTGCATCCGACTATAGTAATTCGCAACTTTCAGCGATGGTGGTACCGCGGTGTGAGAATCGCGCTCCCTAGCTCCTGGATGATCGGCTTCACAATAAAGGTGCTTGCCAACACCTTCCTGGCGTGCAAAAATAAACTAAGGCTCCAACACTGCTCGTATATAGCAAAACTAGCATTACTTAGGTGTCGCAGATCCAGCCTCGTACTGCTGTTCTACGACGATCATCCAGATGACAGCCATTTTGATAGGTACCAGTGCGCCCCCTACAGGTCGTGAATGTTGCGAATAAATACCGAGACAGGCCACGTCCGGCGGTGTTCCAGGCGCATGCTGAACTGCTGTCGCGAGACTTGCGACCACCGGCGCCCATGCATTGCACCTCTTTATTTTCTAACACTCGTGTGTGTCGACGGTGGCGCTTGCTTTTGTATATAGCAATCGCAACACTCCTTCACCCCAGATCGTTGTTCAGGGAGAATAACGACGCACTGGTTTTTTGGGGCGCGTTGATTTGCGTAGAACTGGAGTGTCTTTTGTAGCGATCGAACTCTCGACAAGTTTTTGTGGAGACAATGGCAGTGGCGTTGATGCTTGAGCCTCCGGTGGTTCATCTACTTGCACCGTTGTTCCTGCGTTGGCTGGTGGTTGTTCAGCAAAAACGAATTGATTGCATTTCTTTCTGGCAACTCAGGCGTGACCGGTGGGAACCTGTCGTCAAGTCTGATATGGTCGCCGTGTCTGTGCCAGTTGGTTCCGTCTTCCAGTTGTACTTCGAAGGACGATGAACTTGTTGGTCTGATAACAGTGGCTGGCAACCACGATGAACCATGCCTGAAATTCTTTACAATGACGATAGAGTCAGGCCTCGGCAATTCAGTACGACGTGCTTCTTTGTCCTGGTGTAGCTTCTGCTTCAGTTCTTTTACTACATTTTTCCGAAGGTCCGGACGCAGGGCTTTGAGAGGGGTTCTCAGCACCCTTCCCATGAGTAGTTCTGCAGACGATCGACCTGTCCGGCCATGAGGTGTTGTCCGGTACTAAAAAAGTAACCTAGCGATCTTGGTCTGAAAGTCGCCAGGGTCAGCCTTCTTCAACTTATTTTTTACTAACTTAACTACGCGTTGAGCAGCACCGTTTGATGTGAATGGTATGGTTGGTACCTTGATACCCCGGATCTGGTGTCTTCTGGGGAACTCCAAGAATTTCGCACCTGTGAAAGCTGTTCCGTTGTCAGATATAATAATGTCTCGTATTCCATGAGTTGAAAAAATGGTCCTTAAGCAGTTAATAGTTGCTTTTGAAGATGGAGAAGACACAGGCATGAGTTCAACCCACTTGGAGAAAGCGTCCACGACGACCAAGAAGTAATGACCTTGGAAAGGACCACCGAAATCAATTTGCACTCTTGACCACGGTTTCTCTTGAAAGGGCCAAGATGCTGACTGCACTGCTCGACGCAAGTGCTGATATTCCTGACAGGTCACACATGACTTCACCCTGTTTGATATGTCTTCAACTATGTTAGGCCACCATAGGTGACTTCGGGTGATATTTTTCATCTTTTCAATGCCCGGGTGAGTTTCGTGAATGAGCTTAAGGACTTCCTGTCGAAGAGACGCGGGAATCACGACTCTGGTTCCCCAGAGCACGGAGTCTTAATTCTTGTAGACTGAGCTCGTGCTCTCGAACTTTGAATGGCATCCATTCGGCCTCCCGAGGGAGGTGCTAACTTCCAACAAGATGTCATGAAGCCTTGACAAGAGAGGATCTCCCTTTGAAGCCTGAGCTACTACGGCTGACGACAGCCCTCGAGGGTAGCACCCTTCCAACATGAAGATGTCGGCTGGCGGCTCCACGGTGATGTGCTTGCTCTTTAATGGCAATCTGCTCAATCCATCTGCGTGTCCAATTGTCTTGCCGGGGTGGTAGACTAAGGCGTAATCGTACGCAGATAACATGAGGGGACAACGAACCACTCTGGGAGAGCTTCGCTCTGGGATGGCCTTGTTTGGACCAAGAAGTCCAAGCAGCGGCTTATGGTCTGTTACTGCTTCAAAGTGCCTTCTTCAGAGGTATTGACGGAACTTAGTTACGGCGAAGATTAAGGCCAACGCCTCTCTGTCCAGTTGGCAGTAATTCTTTTCGGCCGGCTGTAGGCTCCTGGATGCGAACGCAATAGGAGCCTACATATCGCGTTCGAAAATATCGAACGCGATATTTTTGTTGGCGCTCAAACACAGGTCTTGGCCTGGTACACGATCGTCGGTGGCCCCCGCGGCATGCGTTGCCAGCTCATCGACGGTCAAAAGCCCAGACCCAGGGTTTGAGGTTAGCGCTGAGGTTAGCCGGCGTGTCATGCTGTTGGATATCGCGATCCTGGCGGTTGGTAGTAGAAATGCTGGAGAAAAAGGCAAGCGAGTGGGAGGGTCGCTGTTGTCGCGGCGCCTCATGTTGTGCCTGCTGCCTGCTTTGGTTTCCGTCGACTGTCTGGCTACAGAGCGAGCTACAGCAGCACAGGCGTCCGCTCCGTCCGGATTCGCTGCTGTGTGACCACCAGAATCAAAAAAAGGCGACAACATGAAGTCCTCAGGTGGTAATGGAAGAATTGCTTTTGAGGACGGAGTAAACGCACCAGTCGGAGAAGCGCTCCAGATGCGAGCGTATACCAGAAGCTGCAAGACCGAGCTCCGGGCTTTCAGCGTCCGTGCCAAGCCCCCGCGGTCGTGCAGTCCTGCAAGCACAGTTTAGAGAAACATGCTCGTGCGTGTGGACTCCACTTTGCTCGCACATAAAGTGAAAACAATTCTAGCGAGCGACGGCCGGCATTCTCCAATTAAGTATAAAGCGTGTGTTGAGGAAGTTCCAGAGAGCTGGCTGCAGAGACATTCAAAAGCGAAATATCAAGAAAATCTTTAGCCTACTGGCGGATACAGCTCAACGGTTTCTTCTAGCCTCCAGGCCTCCAGGAGGCGCAGCATGTACCGACGGCCACGCGCTCTGCTGTTCGCGTTTCATTTGAACCCGAGAGTATGGTGCCTGGAACGCGTCTCCGACTGGTGTGTTTACCGCGCCCAAAAAAGTGGTCCCTCGATTTCCGCCTGATGACGTCATAAAAGTGTCATGCTGTCGCCGGTCGCGACACTGGTGGTGTTTCAGCGGCTGTGGTGGACATGGCAGACGCCTGTTTTGCTGCAGGTCGCTCCCCACTGACAGTTCACGGAAGCTACAGCAGCCGAAAGTTGGGACGCCTGGGACGCTGTGACAACAGCGACACTCACGTTCGCTCGCGCTTTTCGCCAGCATTTCTACGGCCCACCGCCAGGATCGCGACAGTCAACAACATGACACTCCGGATTCTGTGTCGTCATTTGCTGCCACTTGGGGACCACTTTTGATGTACGGGCAGCATAGGCAGCTAAACACACCAGTCGAAGACGCGTTCCAGGCACCATACCGATAGTACATGCCGTAGGTCAGCAAGTTCGTAGCATTATTATTACTACACTCACCCTTGAAGATTTCTCCCCCTCAACCTCGGGCGCCGCTTCGTTTTTCCCAGGGGCCATTTTCGGAGGTTTAAAGGCTGAAATCCATGGGACGACTATGCTGCGAAAAACCGACGAATTTCGCCCGGCGGATTTTGCTCTGCGCGGGGAATCAGCCCAGTGGCTGCTACGTCGCGCGTAAGGCGAGCGTGCCGATAGGTCGACATTCATAAGTTATTCGTCGCATATTTTGCTCCATGGAGTTCAGCCTTAAAACGCCATCTGAGTTGCTGAACTGTTAATAAACACTTGTACGCCCGTAAAGTGCCCAAGTCAGCCTAGTGCCCAAACGAAAAGAACGACTCGCGCTGACAACCTTTGCGTCTTCCTTGTCACGTTTCAGAAATTCATTCGTGGAGATGTTTTTTTTTTTTAAGTATGCTGAAGCTGGGCAGTGCAATCACTTTCATTATTGTTTTGTTGATTGCCGCATGTCGTGCATTACACAAGTGGATTGGTTATTCATTTAATCGAATGAATCTCAATACCAGCACATAAAAGGAAATGCGCGCTTCGAGATATTTCGGTATGAAACCATGCTCGGCGCTCTACGAACTCACGAGCTATTATGACTTTAAGCGAGAGGTTTATCCGTATGTTCGTGGTGTGCACACGCGTTCAAATATCAAACCCTTCCCAACAAGCGATTTTTGTGGAAATGAACATTCTACAGATGCTTTAAACACACGCCTGACTGAGCCGCCATTGCCGACCTTCTCTTGTCTTATGGAGATCCCAAGACACCGAAGCGGGCGTTGACGAGGCTCAATCAAGAAAGGTCTATATGCTGGAGAGAAGGACACAGCACCTAAAGTGACAATAACCTGTCCTGCTGTGGCAATGATGAAGTGAAGCGAACGGAATAAAAGGAAACAAATACTGAAGGTCGGTCATGGCGGCGCCCATGCACAGCTGCCTAAAAGCGTCTATAGACGATAGCAATCGGAGCGTCTGGCCGCCGCCATGTCTCCGCTCGTGCTGACAAGTGCGCGTGCACTTACAAACTTGTCAATGCTACCTTTAAGCGCACGCTGCACATGCTTGCACGCCGATGGCTGTAGCCAGTGGCCAGAGAGAGGCCAGTCATCGGCCAATGGAGCCACTGCTTAGCCACAGGCCAAAGGACCATTGGCCAATGACTGGCCAAATCTATGCTGCTTGGGGGTTCTTGCGTATGAGCTGTACCTAAAGCTTAGCGGGCAAACGCACTAGACTTTTAAATAGAGTGCTAGAATAGGGGGCTCCAACGCTGTAAGTCCCCCGATGGGCTTGGGCCATCGCAATGCGCATGCGCAAAACTTGTGTCTGCGCAGTGCCACGCCCCAAGCTCCTTAGAGAACGCATTGGAACCCCTTATTCTAAAACTCTAATTAGTTGGGTCATATGTCAGAGCCAGATCCGCTGAACAAAGGAGACAAAACACTGGGCAACCATAATTATAACTTACTGTTTAAAAACAAACTACAACTACAACATTTTTTAATCAATCTCAAATATAATCCTTCTCGGAGCACTTACGAAGAACTAGAAGAAACAAGTCTTAGGAATAGCTAACACAAGCGAATAAATACTTATAGAGAGATTGCTCGACAAGTTTGAAGACTGCTTGTATGATTTTCTGGGGATGGTATTTAAATTATTTCAATTATATTAAAACCAGACGTCACAAAAACACCTCAATTAAGTTTTAAAATACTTGTATAACAGGTAGCACCCGATTCCTGCCTAGAGTTTGTCCTAACCACCGTGAGTGACGTCCGAGACTCTGCTCTCGTAACTCGATACACTGACGGTCACATTTTCCGCATCCGGCAGACCCGAATCGGTGGCGTCGCACGTTGCCGAAGCAAATTGCATCATCTTACTCTCATTCCTGCAGCCGAAGGCCTCCCCAAAGCCCTGAGCCGCAGCCATCATCAGCGGCACATTACACCGCAGGCTGGCCGGCGTGAAGCTCAGAGATCGGTTACTCGACCCGTACCCGGTCGCCGAGCACCACTTAAAGCACGTGCCGATGTAGAACAACTGCTCCGGCGTAAAACCCGTGCCAACATCTTCCGACGACAAGTTGGTCCTCTTGTGTACAGAGTACACCGCCTGCAGCCCCATCAGGTCGGCAAGGTTCTCGACGGACGCGTCGTGCATGTCCTTCGCCTCGCCCCCAGCGTCCACGAACCTCTGGGCGAGACAGGCGTGCTTCCTGAGCCGCACGGCGCTGACGACGGTGTCCGTGTCCGACGCGATGCCCGTCGTGACGTCACCCAAGGCTGCGTGCCACAGCTCGTGAGCCAAGATGTGTCCCAGGCCGCCAAGGTTGAAGGCGTCCCCTGCGTCAAACAGGAATGGCTCGAAGAGGAGGGCGGGTGGGAGAAAAACCGTCCCGTGCCAGTTGGAGTACTGCGCCGTCGCCTTCAGCACGGACAACACACTGTCCTCCTCATTCGCGATGACCGGCGCTTTCGGGTCTGCCACAAGCTGGGTCTTCTGCTTGTCTCTCAGCGCTTGAACGGAGGTGAGATAGAATTCAAAGTAGTAGCCTTTGAAGTCGGGTAGGTACGAGTAAAACTTGTCGATGGCCTCTGTCTTGTTGAACCTGTCCGGCCAGCCGATCATGAACCTGAGGTTGTCAAGCCGCTCTTCGGCCTCTGCACGACCCCCGGGTTCTAGCCATGACAGCGATCCTCTGGTCTCGTTCTTCAGCTCCATGTATAAGTGCCGGGCTTCTGTCATGCGTTCTTCCTGCAAGGCGCCTTCGAAGACGAGCATAGCTAAGGCGAATGACGTCAACTGCGTCGCTGCGGCTGCGCACTTGTCCGCCACGTACTTCAATATGGGGCCATCGTCTTCTTCGGGGTAGCCAAACAGCGAAATGACAAACCTGTACGACGTAAAAGGTGCCAGTTGTCGAATTACGTGGAAACCGATATAATGGCGAACTTCGTTCGTGCTGTACTTGACGAGGAACTCGTCTACCAGACGAAATATCCTAGGATCACTAGCGTAGATCTCGTCGGACGAGGAGAAGTTCGTCTTCGTGGCAAGATTGCCGTTGATGGCTTCCAGCCAGACGACATTAGTCATCTGGCCGTTGGCTATGTCCTCGAACCGCAGGAAGCGGCCAGCTCTGCCAGAAGAGGCCGCCGCAGCGCTCCAGGCAGCGGTCACCTCGGTGTCCATCTTGACTAGGGCAGACGCCAGAGTCGCATTTCGAACGTTGTTCGTGGACAGCACGTTGACGAACTCTCGAATGCAGCGCACCAACGCCTCCGGAGCCAGGAACCGCTTCCTATGCTTCATCCATTCAATGAGGGCCTCGCTGAAACCGAAACTCAGGATCCTCTTATTCGCTTTCCTCTGGTCCGGGGCTAAGACAATCTGAAAGAGGACCGGAAGGTTCCAGTTGAGCGCCAGAGCCACGAGGATCTGCAGCAGATCGGAGCTGCTGGGCATCCTTGAGCCCTTGAAGAAGTGGAGGTCGTGCTTGTCGAATACGTCTTGTAGCTTAGAAGTCCCATCCAGTCTGCGGAGGTAGACCTCCGTACAAGCGAGGTAACTGAGCGCGGCCTTCTGCTTCACATTCAGCGGTTTGTCGGGAGCGGGAAATGTGCTTTCTTGCGCCTCGAGCATCATCTTCGCCACACTGTGGGTCCTGTACTGGGGACACAAAGTTTTAGGCTGGTTAGACCCGTTTGAAACAGGTTCAGGCATCCGCCGCAACATTCACAGCCCAATACTGCCTGCCACGTTCGGAAGGATATTAATGCAGTAATAATTTGGTCACTAAGTGAATAATTGTTGAAGAAACCGAGCGATAATTATTTACGGCATTCTTATTTATATACACATTTAGACATAAATTACATCGTGCCAGTAATCAGTGCTCTGGAAGCTTGCTATCGTTTAACCCTTACAAATGATGAGGTATTTTGACACCTATTTAACGTGCCGTTCGGATAACACTTTCGGCATGGTATAATATATATACCCTGTGCTTTCTTTTTATCTCTCATGCTCAGACAACAATACGTTACACATATATGTTTGTAAATGTTCACAGCCCTAGAAAGCAAATAATAATAATAAAAATTCATTAAATGTCGCTGCAACGCTCAATTACGTAAGTTTAGCAAGCCGCGAAGCACTGTACTATGTGGATATACCTTACACGCGTTTTCTAAGGATGGGCCCGAATCGGCCCGAGTCAAATAGTGTAATATATGGTTAATAATCAAGACCAGAGCCGTATATGTAGAGAGCTTGGCCATTCGTTGGGAAGTATAGGAGACAAGTGAGGAGACGCCATTGGCCGAAAGCGGGTTGGGTGTGTTCCATGGCGTCTTCAGAAATTCGAATGTGACCAACCAGAAGCCGGAAATAATACCCTGGCGGTGGTCGCGAGAAACAAACCTGATAACTGCATTGGAGTAACTCTCGATGGCTGAAAATATGCTACACGTGATGTTTCAATCACGCTCATAAAAAATGATAGTGGAAGAGTGCGACTAGCGGAACGATCGACATAATCCGTACGCCAAACGCCGAGGGCCGGGAATCTGCCTTCCGAGCGGTCACACTCTGTCCGCGCAAAACAGAGTTGAGCGTCGCATTCGTTTCTTACATCTTTCTGCATGATCATGATCAAAACAACACGTGAACCCATTTTCAACCACAAAGAGTTACTCTTACGCGCTTATTAAAACCATATACGAACATAGACCTTTGATCAGAACTGTTTCTGGCTGCCGCCGCTAGGGGATTCTTTTCGGCTTCTGGTCGGTCAAGAGAGCATGCCAAGCCCTCTTTCCGAGACTGCCGCACGCCCTGGCTCTGCCCGCGTCCCATTGACCAAACTCTCTACATATACGCTCTGATCAAGACCAATGTCAACTCTCTGAGGCGTATAGTTCCGAAACCACGAACCGTTTTTAATATACCCATTCGTCTAGCCACTTATGTTCACATCTAACCTGCCAAACTGCACAAAAATGAAAAAGGAATGGTGCAATTTGTTATGATCGTATCACGGCATGCGCCACTGATCTGCACTGAGATAGCGCGTTGGGTTTAACGGTATCACAGTATGCATCAGTACCTAAAGGCCTCTTATGTCTTCGAGATTACGCTTTTAGTACCCTGTCCTCTTTGAAGATGAAGCCACCGAACGTTACCGTTCCCAAACATTAGACGGCGAAAGCCTGGCGGCGGTAATTTATTACCTTAGGCTTGTAAGCTGTTTTCAGGGGCGAATGTGGACTCCTCAGAATCCCACGGTCTAGAGAGCATTCGAAAACGACCGGATGCGATTAAAAACGTCACGTCCGGCGGCAAATTTGTCGTGTACGCTTGCTGCGTCACTTAGCTGGGAATGTCACGAACTTTTGTGGAACATCGAGGTTTGACTGGTTCGTCGAACCTTCGAACTGTAAGCAAAATTCGTCGACATCCGACAACCTAAACAATGCTTCTAAAATAAATAAAAAGAGAAACGATTTATATTTTTTTTTTCTAAATTTTAGATGATATTTATCAATTCATAGAATAAAAAGGAAAACGTATACGTGTTTACTGGTTTACTGAACATGCGTATAATATTCGAACGTGTGTCGTACTTTTGTCGAAATTCAAGTTGGGGAAAAATTTAAACCTGGTTGAACTCAAACGTCAGCGGGTTCGTGACATCCCTCCACTTGGCACGCCTGTCTCGAGCAGCACCCCTACGCTCACTCCCACCTTTGAAGTCCGGGCGCAGCCAACGCTACGAGTGGATGGGACTAATCTAAACAGCGTCAAAAGTGCAACGTCTTGGTGTACGTTATGCTTTTTTTTACATTTCTTTTGGTGTTTTATTATTGCTAAGAAGATCATGTACAGGGAAGGCCCACTGACTAGCGCGCTTAGCATGTACGTTCTTGGTTTTATACGCGTTCGTGCCTTCGACTGCGTCTCTACTGAACAGCATGTGGATTGCCGAGGAGCGATCCAGGAGACAAAAGAAACGCTCCAGAACAGCGGCTTCTTTCGCCTCCCTTGCTGTCCCGGTCAGTAGGCCCTGTCGGTACGCCCTGTACCGCGGCCCGATCGCGGTACGCCCTGCATCCATGCCGTCCCGGTCGCGGTACCTCGAGGTAGTCGAACTGGTCGTCGAACTTGCGTTGCGCGTCGGACCACTGTCCGCACACGAAGTTGTAGAAGTCGTCGCAGGGATTCTCGGACAGGTTCATGACCGAGTGCAGATGCCGACGCAGGTTGTAGCAGGTCAGGTTGGAGCAGAGCAGGTACTCGGAGGCCTCGCGCTTCTCTGGCGGCGAGAAGACCAGGAACACGATGATACCGGCCAGCCCGACCACCTCGAAGCCCAGTAGGCTTTCCACTTTGCTCGTGAAGAGCAGGTTGCGACTCGGGGGCTCGGCGTTCCACTGCAGCGCGGTGGGTCATGCGGGTTCCATAGTCAGACGAGCCATAAAGAGCTGTCTTTTCATTTACTAAGTCGACAAGAACCGCGAGGCGTGGACAGGCCTCGCAATCTCATGATCACTGGAAAGACGACGGTTAGCGGCTGACCTCGCCCAAGTCTGAAATCCACGTGTGTTCGAGTGAACACATTGAAATGGCCCTACATGTGTTGCTTCGTAAATCTAGCACACAGCGCGCGGAGAACTCCCAAATGTTTACCTTTTAGATGGACGACTGGTTCACAATACCCGACTTGTATGCAAAGCCATTCCCCCATGAATCATCTCCTCCCCGTTTTCCCTCGGTCATTTTAATTTTAAATCCTAAATGCGCGTTAGTCAAAAACTAAGAAGGACTAGTTTGTTTCGAAGTACAGCATTCGTATGTTTAGTGCAAAGCTGTTTTGTTGTTGTTTTTTTCGACCGCCGATGGGTAGAAACATACCGTAGCTATTTCTCCACAATCACCGCAGACGCATATTTAGGTACTTATCATAACGAGACCTTCGAATGCCCTGCTCAAAGAAAGTTGCCGACGGGTTCCTCAGTCATTTCATCAAGCGTCAAAAGACAGTGAGTCGTCAGAGACGTCTTTCCCTGAGCCCCATCATCATGGACATCCAAAAGCTTGTGCCACGTAATGCGAAGTGCCTATATTTTCAGAGTGATTACCCGGAGATGCAGATACAGTATGTGTCTAAATATCGCGTAAACTATTTTTTTTTACTCACTCTATTTTTTTTTAACTTAACTTATAGTAGGCTTAAAAAATAAAGGAGCAGATATTTGTATGGCAGAGACGGAACACGTGGCGTAGACAACAGCAGAATGGAAGTTGAAGAAACGCGAATGCTACCAACCTCTGCACACACGCACATTGTTTATAAACAAGCCCGTTGCCGACACTGCGGCTCTGCACATGTATAAGTACACGTTTTCAGAAGGTCGAACCACATGCACATGCTCCGCCCCACAGGCAGCGACGCCATCTTGGTCCGACGTCATGAACACGAGTTGGTGCGAAAAAACCTAATTCGTTTGCGCACGTGCAAAAAAAAAAAAAAAAAAAACTTTTGAGACGCGAATGCAATTAATGCAAAGGTGCCAGCGATCTAGACAAGAATAACGATATCAATCCCTGGAGAAGGGGGAACAAGGGGGACAATGGACAAACACAAATATCAAAACACAGCTAGGTGACTGGTGAGTGACTGAAAAAAATCCCCCTAAACCTGGTATCGAACCAGGGACCTCTCCATTTCCAGTAGAGCGCTCCACCTGAAAATGTAGAGGTCTTTGTTTCAATAAGAGGACCAGGCGGATTTTTATTCGCGCACCAGTCACCTATCTGTGTTGGAGATATGTGTTTGTCCTTTGACCCAATTCTTCAGGGATTATTATCGTTGTACTTCTAAGATCAAGGGCATCTTTCGACATGGTGAAGGAGACGAGTATGTGTACCAGGGGTGCACAACATGCGGACCGCGCACATGACACTGCGATATGTGCTCAAGACGGCAACCGGCGCGATGATGCCGGATATTGAATACCTGTCTGCCAGATATTGAAAACCCGCGCAGTTCCCAATAAAACATTTTTTTTTTTTTTGGCCCGCGTCATTATTCAGCTGTGCCCTCCCTGATTACGATAAACCAGGATTGACAGCGGGTGCAAGATGGCGCGAGCCGTTCCCTCGACCGCGTTAAAAGATGGCAAAACGGAATCGCCTATTAGACGTCTTAGCCTACCCCATCTGTCCTTCAGCCCCAGTGTGTGACCCTGTGCGTACTACTGGAACACTTGGAGGAAGAAAATATTGAGAAGTTTTGCTGGAAGCTCTTAGGAGTCAGGATCAGAGGGTGCAGCGCGTCGCAGGCCCCGTGTCTAGGTTCACGATAGGGACTCGAGCTCGTGCCACGATATTTGAAATGTCAAGCGAGGATTCCGTTAGCGGTCAAGATGACGCCAGACAAAAGCAGTTGTGGACTAAACATGACCGGACAATGCACCCGGGTCAAGCTTTACGCAAGAGGATTGAATCTGGCGTTTCACTGCGCGCGCGCATTGGGTTATGTCTTAAGGGTCCTTACTCCCGATCTCTTCTCCGACTCGCCAGTGTCCGACAGGTCCTCCTCGGTTGTTTCAGTGTCCGACATGGCGACGGTGGCGATCGACCGACGAAGCTTCTTCCGTCTTCTTCGTCAGCGAAACGATGACGATGCTCTTGCCTTTCCTGGTTAATCTACGGAACGATTCGATGTCGTGGCTGGTACCAACGTTGGCTACGGGGTGGCGTTCACTTGGCGCCTCTAGCCAGGGAACCGGACATTTTCTCACCCATCCTTTCCCTTTTTTTTTTTTTTTTTTTTTAATGTCGTGATGTACAAGCCTTCTCGCGTCTCGGCGCGAGTGTGTAGCTTATTTGACAACTGCATTTTACCGCCTAAATGTCATGTAAGTACTGAGTATTTGATTCAACCATACCGAACAGTCTTTCGTCGAATTATTTAATCGAAGGTCGCTTCACCGAACGCTTTATGGAATCGCTTGACACGTCGTTCGTTGAATTTCTCCTTACATGCATATTTGTACTCATAAAGCCTAGGAATACGATACATGCGATGAAAGGTGCGCACGTTGAGCACGCGAATCCTTGATGACCATTCCACATGGTGCGATTGTGCTAGGTATCTTCGGTTGCAACGCCGCCCACGCACAAAAAAAGAAAAAAAAAAGACGTTTACAACTCCCTGTAATGCCGAATTAGAGCGCAGCACTTGAGGGGGAGGAGGGGAGGGTGTGGTATGCCCCTCCTCCTCATCCGTACCCTGTCCTCCTCCCTTCTCATCTAGTCCTCCCGTGCTCCTCACCTCCTCCCTCCCGCGCGGTGCATTATGGAAAACGTCCCATAATGCAAAGCTCGCGTCACAGCGGTGCATTATGGGACGTTTCCCATAATGCACCGCGCGGTTACGCCGACACCGCTCAAGCCGGAAACCGGCGCCTAAGAGCTGCGCTCTAAAAGATTACGGTGTTGTTTTTGCTGCGTTTCACTGCAGATGTCGGTGGCCTTCATCCCTAGCTAAACGTCACTCTCACCTCCAGCGTTTCTTTGGCACGGCGGCTCTAGAGTAACTGTATAGCAGAGCCTATACAGCTACTATAGGAGGGCCATCTAGTGAGCGCCTCGCCTCGAGACTGCGCATGCGCGCGACAGAGAAGGAGAACGGCACATGTACCCCACTTTCCCGTGAACGGTTAACGCGCAACAAAGGAGAGTACCGATACGCGTGCCCCACTATCCCGCGCATGCGTTCCAATGTGACGACCCGAATTTTTCAGGAAGGGCGAGAACGGCAGCTGAAATCCGTGCTATCACCCCAAACTTTTTCTTTTTCGGGGGGGGGGGGGGGGGGGGAAGGGGGGGGTTTACACGAGATTGACATTAAATGTAAAAATTTTGGCGGAACTCCGCCTGGTTAGGTAAGTAATAAGAAAAAGTAGAACGTAGATTGACATTCGCAAGCATAATCGTACGATGTGAAGCGGGCTTTATATCTTCACAAATGGAAGAAAGGTCTCCAGTTTAAACCGACAATATCGAAGCGTCGCGCGCGCACGCGAATGAGCACACACATTCATCAAGGGACTTCAGCGTTGGGTGGCAGCTCGCGCCATCTATCCTACAGCAACGGAGGCATTGCCGTTGTTCGCTCATTGCCTCCGAGATCCCGAAGCGCGCGTGGTTCGCTACTGTTACCGCTCCCGCCTAGGTGGCGCAAGCTCCTGTGCGCTCCTACGGGAGCCAGAGTTGCGCGTGTTTTCCACGTGCCGCCGCTATTCGCTGAGATCCGATGACGTGAGGAGCAGACTTTAAGTGCAGTGCAGGAAAGCCACAGGTACGGCCGCTTCGCCAATGGTGCAAGCGCCTCGGCGTACATTTCCATCCTTTTGCTTCCTCCTATCTGTTTACCCCTTTGATCCTCTGACCTAAGCTGGAACCCTACTGTGAATCCATATTTCTACCTTTTTCGTTTCTTTCCGATTCTTTAATATTAAGATACACCGAAGATAGGGCGTTTTGGCACAAGATATAGCAGACATTCGTTGATGGTGTAATTTAGCACAAATGGGGCACCACCCGATGCCGCCTTCACGCGTGCATCGCATTGTTATAGACGCTTTACACACGCGCCAGATTACAGACGCCATTGCCGACCTTCTATTGTCTTACCGAGATATCAAACCACTGAAGCGGGCTTTGGCGAGCCTCCACAAAGGCAAATGCTGGGGAAAAAGACACCGTCGTATCTAAAATGCTTGTAACCTGTCCTCCTGTGGTAATGATGGAACAGAGTGAAAAATATAAGCGAAAACAAAAACTGAAGGGCGGTTATGGCGGCGCCCATGCACAGCTGCTGTAAAGCGTCTATAGGAAGTATTCACTGGCGGCCATAGCTGTGAGTGCGACTGCTGAGCGCGTGCCGATGGCGAGCTTCCACAGTTCTTTTGCAACGTGCATTCCGCACCCTCAAGATTGCCGGTCTTAGCAGCCTATTAATGTGGGCTCGTCCTGAGCATGCGCTCTACGCAGCACTCACAAATATGGCGGCCAGTGAATACTCCTTATTGGGGCTGTCGGAACGATTCACTAAAGCTCTCCATTAAAATTCGCCGTTCAGACCTACATGCTTGCTCCAACACACCTTGAGAATATATTCTATCGAGTTTTGAATTTCGGTATTTAATCGCAAGTCAGCTCTGCAGATGCAGACATCGAAGCATTCGTGAACATTTGGTGGCCTAAAACAGGGAGGCACTCACTTGATCCAATGACGTTTTAGCGAAGACCCACGTTTCACCGAATGACACTTTAGCGAATAGTCGGACGCCGCGAAGTCAAAGTCAAATTGGACGTTTTAGTGATTTATACAGCGTAAGGTTGGTCTGCCAGTAGGGGCGACACTGGTTTACACTGTAGATGAAAAATTTTTCCAGTGCGGTACAGCCGCTAGCCTGGGGTCTTTAACGTGCACCACGCAGTAGTGATACACGACCGCACGCCGGTAGGATGCTCATCCAAATCGAAACGGGCAGGGGTGGGGCTCGAACCCAGGATCCCTGGGTTCTGCAGCGCGAGCTTTCGCTCCA